ATTATAAGCACAAGAAGTAGCTGAACCTCACATGAACACGGTATGAGTGGACATGGGTATAGGAATGACTAAAAATTGACAGGGGATGCCAAAGATCTTAGACAACTGGGGATGATTTGTGAATTGTGGCAATTTACTGATTCTTGGTTTATTTTAATTCAAAATTGAAGTTCCCCTAGCAAGACTAAGAAAAAAGGAGAGAAAACACAAATTTCCCTATATATTATTCTAGATCATGCAGATACTAAAGGGTTAATAAAGGATATTGTGAACAACTTTATGCCAGCAAGTTTAAGCTTGGGTTAAATGGACAAGTTTCTTGAAAAATACAACTTATCAAAACTGAGGCAAGAAGAAATGGAAAATTTGAATAGCCCTATATACCTGATATCCACATAGATTTATTATTGTCTTTACATCATACTGTTACCCCTTCTCTTCTGTCAGAGATTTTTTTTATATCAGGTGAACCACTCCGTTGTTGAATTTAGGTTTGGACATCCTGATTTAGGACATTAAATCCTTCTCATGACACTATCCAAGGAATCTGCCATTCAGTGGGTTTGCTGTGGCTTCACATAACTCTCTGGTTCATTTGAATAGTAACTGGAAGATTCTGTATGTACATTTTCCTTTCCTTCTACGTTCCTTTTCTAGTTTCTATAAGTGTCAAGTTTTAGTTTTTGCCATTAGTTTGTATAAAGCGACTGGTCCCTGTTTTCCAGGTGGTTGGATGTTGGTGCTCCTTAAAATGATCTAAATCATCCCCCCCACCCCCACCCCACTTTTTCTCAGGTTTTTTGTTGTTGTTGTTCCCTAGTTTTCTGAATTGCTTTCTTGATTCTTCTAAAATACCCGGAATACTTTAATACTGTAAGATAGGCCAGAGTTTAGGGAAACTCATGTCTTTTTAAATCTTTTTCTTTAGCAGAAAAACTAGTTTGTACTTAAAACAGATAAGGAAGAGAAACAAGATGCCTATCTCGCAGATCTCTGTAACATTTATCCTCACAGCGTGGAACACTGGGTTAGTAAGTGCGCCTGGCCTTTTCTGGAAGCTGTCCTCAACACTGCCTGTTTTCACATGTTTGCTGTGCTCCTTGCTATAAGCAGCCTCACCCTAAAGTTTCATTTTAGTTTCATCTTAATCTGCACTTCTGCAGCTGCTATTGGATGTATTATCTGGGCATTTATTACATACACAGCATAAAGGAGCTGTTAATTTTAATGTGCCACTAAGCTACTTAGCTCAGACATGTCCAATGTATTTACCGGTACTTATGACTCAGTGATTCTTTTTCTTTTTTTTTTTAGTATATTTAATTGATTTTTTACAGAAAGGAAGGGAGAGGGATAGAGAGTCAGAAACATCGATGGGAAAGAAACATTGATCAGCTGCCTCCTGCACACCTCCTACTGGGGATGTGCCCACAACCAAGGTACATGCCCTTGACCGGAATCAAACCTGGGACCTTCCAGTCCGCAGGCCGACGCTCTATCCACTGAGCCAAACCAGTTAGGGCATGAATCAGTGATTCTTAAATTCCCTCCCATATTTGAGATTCAAGAAATCTCATTCAAATTTAAGAAATGTGAATCTGAGAGGATACTTCAGTAATTCTTAGGTTGATCCATTTGAAAATGTTTTTTTAATGTACATTTCCTCAGATTTGGTAGGTCTTGGGACCTTCCTCCACTAGTGCAGTTTTGCCAAGAAACTCACAAAATTGATGTAGAGATTTATAAGCAAAATTTTAAAAAGTAGCTTAAAAACATCAGCTTAATGTGGGGGTGGGAGGTGAGGGTGGAATCCTGAGGTTGGTTAAAACAGCTATCCCAGAGGAGCTGATCCTGAAAATTCCTTAATTTAAATGTCTATGTTTCTGGGTGTTTTAGACAAGAGTTGTTCAGCTTAAATCCTGAAAAGGACTGAAGGACAGAAACTCTGATGTATATCTTGTTCTATTTGCTGACATTACTGCCTTCCAACTTGAGATGTTTGAAAGAAGCAAAATATAATATAAATTGTAAGAGAGTTTCCGAGAGCAGATTCCTTTCTTTTACTCCCATGTTTCTCTAATCATCCCACCTAAGTCAGAACAGGCTTTCCATTTTTCTTCCAGTCCTACATTCCATAGCCTGTTTAGCCAAAGCACATGTGAGTCAGCGCTGCTGTCATCAGGAGAGTGTATGAGCTGGCAGAAGAGCCTGCAGGAGGACATATGGCCCAGGCCACACTCCTCAGCCTCATCGGGGGAGGAAGGGCAGGGTCCACTTTTCCTCTCCACCCGGTGCTAGTTCTTTGAGTGATCACCTGTCAGTGACCGCTGACCTTCTGTCCAAGATGAACTCCAGCCACATAAACCAGAGAAGGAAATGCTGTTTCTCTAGCCTTTCCCATTTCCTTCCTGAAAGATATTTAGACTTCATTTTCTGACACCTCTTATCCTTTCACACAAAAGAAAGAGGCTGTTCTTTTTAGCCTTGTATTGCCAACAGTAAGAAAACTATGCTGTTGCTTTTGAGTTTAAATAGTCTTATTGCTAAGACTTGTAATTTAAAAAAAGAATTCCACCCAGCTGGTGTGGCTCAGTGGTTGAGCATCGACCTATGAACCAGGAAGTCATGGCTGATTCCCTGTCAGGGCACATGCCTGGGTTGCCCGCTCAATCTCCAGTGGGGGGCATGTAAGGGCAGCCAATCAATGATTATCTCTCATCACTGATGTTTCTATCTCTTTTTCCCTCTCCCTTCTTCTCTGAAATCAATTTAAAATAATTTTTTTTTTTTAAAAATGGATTCCCATTCCCAAAAGATTATGTTTTCTGGAGATTTTAATTTCAAGACATGGAAGTTTCCAGATGCCCATGAACGCATATTCCTCTGAAGGAGCCCATACTGTGGTCCCCACAAGGAGCACCCGCTCCCCCTGCCCTCCTCAGGTAGGCAGAGGTGCGCTGTGCTGCTCCCGCACCCTCTGTAGAAGCAAACAAGGAGAAACCACAGTCCCTCGTCTTCCGGCTAAGGAAACCCCTTCAGATATTTTCTTCTGGAAGTCTAGAATTTAGACTTATGCTATGGATTGGGCAACATTAGAATGTTTGAAAGAATATAGTAAATTTTCAAAACTCTCACACTTTTATGCCCTACTTTTCTGCAAGAAAAATAGATTGCTCAGAATTTCACAATAAGAATTTAAGTCTGGGTCCTATGCACCTAGTTCATCAAAAGTGGGGCTGATTTGAGGGCTGGTGGGGGTAGAGGCATCAATATCTTTCTAAATATCTTTAAAGCCTTCAAAATTTATATCTCTAGCTCTTACCTCTCACCTGGATTTAGAATGATAGATTTCGGGACTAATTTTGTAGTTTTCTAGGTTCTCCCCATGTTTTTTATGCATAGTTCTCATAAATCCTAAAAATCGTTTTAGGCATGTGTCCCTCAGGGGCCCAGCAGAATGTAGAAGGCACACCAAAATTGGGTAATTTGAGGAGCTCTTACTTACAATGGAATGGGCAGGTTTAGGAAAAATAGCAAAGAACCATACTGTGCCCCATGGTTAGCAGGAGAGCCACCCGAGGCCTGAGGGGCAGGGCACTAACTCAACAGAAGGAGCTATTTTGTGGGGTCCTTCTGATGTGGCTGTGGCCTTTAGTAGAACCGTGTAGCCAATTGACAGCCCAGCAGGGAGGCAGCCAGGGGATACATAGCCCAAACTCACTGTCCTCTACCTTCGATCTCCTGCTGGTGTTACCCATTGGCTGAACCCAACTGGAAGCCAGAGGCAAGGGCACCTGGATGCAGTTCTTATGGGTCAGCCTCATGGAGCGCAGAGCAGGTGAAGGGTGGAGGACAGACCTGGGAGGGGAAGTGGAAGACACAGCACATGCTTGTCATCCAGTCCTCAGTCTGTCCCAGGTTCAGATCTTTTCTCAAAAGGCTGAACTGGAAATTACTTATGTTGTTTAATATCAGTATTTATCAAAGCAAATGTTTATAGTTTGTGATCTCAGAAGATTTTTTTAGTAAAGCATGTCCAGACTTGTAGATATGCTGCTTATTAAAATTACTGAAGTTTCCCAGGCCTTCTTTCACCCACTCTCACATTTTATGACATGCATTTTTAAAGATCTTTTTATTGTGGTAAATATATATAACATAGAATTTACCATTTTCCCATTTTAAGGGTACATTTCTGTGGCATTCAGTACACTCACATTGTTGTGCAACTATCACCACCATCCATCTTTTTTCTTTTTTAATATATCTTTATTGATTTCAGAGAGGAAAGGAAAAGGGAGAGAGAGATAGAAACATCAATAATGAGAGAGAATCATTGATTGGCTGCCTCTTGTATGTCCCCTCCTAGGGATCAAACCCGCAACCCAGGCATGTGCCCCTGACCAGAATCGAACCCAGGACCCTTCGGTCCGCAGGTTGACGCTCTATCCACCGAGCCAAATTAGCTAGGGCACCACCATCCATCTTAAGAACTTTTTCATCTTCTCAAACTGAAACCCATTCCCCCCCCCCCCCCCCCACATCCTCTGGTAACCACCATTCTACTTTTTGTTTCTCTGAGCTTGACTATTCTTGATATCTCATGTTAGTGAAGATATACAGTATTTGTCTTTTTTGTGACTTAGTATAATGTCCTCAAAGTTCATTCATATCGTAGCATGTATCAGATTGTCCTTCCTTTTAAAGGCTGAATAATATTCCATTGTAGGCACACACCACGTTTTGTGTATAATATTCCATTGTAGGCACACACCACGTTTTGTGTATAATATTCCATTGTAGGCACACACCACGTTTTGTGTATAATATTCCATTGTAGACACACACCACGTTTTGTGTATACTATCCCGTTGTATGTGTGCACCACATCTTGTTATCCATTCATCTGTCAAAGGTTGCATGACCCACGCTTTTAAATGTTATTCTATTTCTGCGTATGAATGCATTCACTCTCATGGTTTTACCTTTTACATGTCTAGCCTGGTGTTTCACAAATCTACAGGATGATGTCAGAGCACGGCTGTAGGCGCTGAGACATGAAAGGTGAGGTGGGCTCGAGCAGGCGAGGTGGGCATCATTTGGAGGAAGTGGAGAGTGGGGAGTATAAATGTGTGGAAAGACAGGAGAACCCATCATGGATAAAAGAAACAGCATGAAAACAAAGGAACAAGTTCTGGACAGAAAGAGCTGTATGGGAGCGGAGAGTATTTTGCTTGGATCGGCCTGAACCAAGAGGACTACTTATGAATAAGTGGGGTGAGATAGTTAAACATTTTTGAAGTTTTACCTAAAAAAAAGTATACTGTGCCAGACAAGTTTAGAAAAGCTGGATTAAAAAGGTTCTTGGCACGACTGTCTCAGTCTTTCAAATACTGGCATGTTTTCTGTCCTTCCAAGACAGAATATGCTTGCTAGCCTTCCTCAAGTCAGTCTCGCTCTCTGTCTCTCTAAATTTAGCCTGAGAATCTCTGAAGTTAGAGGTCAATGGTCGGGTTATCTGCAGGGTTTTATTTTATCTTGTAGATTTGAGATCGATACTTTGGGATAGGAGTCCGGTTGCTTGGGACAAAAGAGAAGTCTCTAAATGCTCTTGTCAACCACCAACAGGATTAGAGAATAAGTATTTAAAGAATTCTGGGTTAAATGTCATCAGTTGATTAGCCTATCCAGTAGAACCATATTTTTAGCTTGCATGGGAATTTGATTCCATTTGGCTTGATAAACATTGTTGAATATGTGAAAATAGGAAGACCTTGTCAATTCCTAAGCAACCAATAAAAATCGGCAGTTTAAAAGATTAACCAGTTCACTGACAGATTAGTGGGGAGAAAAGAATTATGTCCTTGGCCAAGAAGAGAGGAAAATGGTACTTCCAAAAAGCAAAACAAAAACCTCTATAAACAAATAATAAGCTCCAGTTAAGATAAATATGCTGACGTACTGGGAGAAATATCTGTGGTTTATTTTTAAATGCATCAGAAATAAAATAAAAAATACTTTAAATGCATCAAAAATAACATGGGTTGATAGATGGATAAAGAGATAGATGATAAGTGATCAAGGAGCACAGTAAGATATTGATAGAATCTAAGAGGTGGGTGTAAATTTTTTTTAACCTCACTATTTGAAACTTTTCATAATAAAATGTCAGAGAACCAAAGAGGAAAATGGAAGTCTAAAAGATTTTGAAGGACGAATCATTGAGATTTAAGAGAAGCAGTGTTTATAGTAAAAAGAACATGGGCATTGGAATCAAGCAGGCCTGAGGTCTGGTTCTGGCTTTGCTATTCTCTAGAGCAGCGGTTCTCAACCTGTGGGTCGCGATCCCTTTGGGGGGGATCGAACGACCCTTTCACAGGGGTTGCCTAAGACCATCGGAAAACACATATATAATTACATATTGTTTTTGTGATTAATCACTATGCTTTAATTATGTTCCATTTGTAACAATGAAAATACATCCTCCATATCAGATATTTACATTACGATTCATAACAGTAGCAAAATTAGTTATGAAGTAGCAACGAAAATAATTTTATGGTTGGGGGCCACCACAACATGAGGAACTGTATTAGAGTCGCGGCATTAGGAGGGTTGAGAACCACTGCTCTAGAGAGTTAAGTATATTGCTTAGCGGTGGCACTGGGATTTGAACCCATGCAGCCTGGCTCTAGTGCTTTGGTCTCTCTGTACTTGCAGTGCTGCAAGCTCCTTGTCCATGTCTGGCATGTGATAAATTCTCAAATAATAGCCGTCGCCGTTCATTAGTGTACCGCCTGTGGGCTGCAGAGGATGAATGAAGTTTAAGATTTTAATGTTTGATCTGGAAGATTTATATACAAATTGGAAGAGAAGAGACGGTTTAGTGTTAGATAAGTGGAAGTAGAGATTTTTATATAAACAGTCTCATGTATTCTCCTAAAGTTCAGTAAGTCATTTGCTCACCAAATATTTGAGAGTGTTGTATGTACCGAGTACTGCTCTAGATCAGTGAATAAAACCGACAAAAATCTCTTTCCTTATACAGTCTTACATGCAACAAGGGTCTGAAGAATTAAGGATTTGTATGTCCCCAATGCGGGATGAGTGCAGCAGTGGAACTGCAGGCATTCACAGCAGGAGAAGGTGTTGTTTCCCCGGCAGACTTCAGATGCCCCTGACGCCACGCCACGAAGGCAGTCATTTCCTCTGCTTTCTCTCAAGCCCATCTGTGCTGATTTCCTCTGCAGTTCTTTTGCCTTCCATCTGGAATTGGTGGAACAACTTATATAAGCTCTTTATGATTGTTTGAAAACTGTATGTTCAGGCTTCTAAAATGGGCCGGATAGGAACAGTGATGGTTGCTTTTCATAGCGTATTCTATGAGCAGAGAACACTGAGAGAAAATTCATGAAACTCCACATAAAACAGAGGACACTGAGGTCTCCTTTCCTGTCTCATGCACGAATCCTGTAATTTAGCCAGGCTCTGACTTCAGCGCCCTTCCAGGGCGTGTATCCCTCGGCGATTATGCACTCATTCCAATAGGGTAGGAGGTCAGTCAGTAAAAGTATTTATTGAGCCAGACCCTCCTCCTCTGCTTCTGAGTCATTTTCGGGTAGAGCAAAGACGTTCTCAGGGAGAAGCTTTAACTCTTTCAGATGACAAAGGTCACTCCTCAGTGCGATGGGTAGCTCTCTCAGTCATCCTCAGGGCTTATACTTATTCTTTACTTGGTATTGTAGAGAACGAGGTATGTATTTAGTCAGATAGTGAGATGGAATTTGTAGTGAGAAAATGTAGCAGAAGGAAAATAATATCCACCTTGTCCCAATCTTGGGAGTTGTTTTAATAATGTATAGATGGCTAAGAGGCTTGCAAAATACTCTGTTTGTTTTAAAAAAAACACATATTTATGACACACCCTTCTGTGGAAATCTGACATCTGGCAGCTTTAGCTCCTTGGGAGCCGGCCAGAAACTAAGCACAGGGCCTCAGAGCACATAAAAAATAACTTGAAAAACGCGAGCAGGAACACATGTATTTTACCATCACAGGAGAGTTTGGGAGCCTCTCATTTGGAGCTTGTTTACTTTTTATTTATCTGGGAACTTCGAACAATTTTGGCGGTGATGTGTGGTCCCCCTGCCCTGGGAGATTATAAACAACCATCTAGGAAGAGGTTGGGAAAGTTGACAGAGAAGATGAACTGATAGCAGAGGGAAGGCTGACATCAAAAGAGAAAGACTTAGAAGCTGTACAGCACTGGTGTGATGTGTTACAACACAGTATAGTAATGTATGGTCTTCATAATGCACTTGTATCCATCAGCCAAAGAATTAAGCCATGTGCAGTGTCTTTTGAAGAAGGCCGAGAGATACATAATGTGTCCTTTTAAACCTGGTCCAAGTTTTGACATGTTGAAATGGTAAATTCTGTAGTGTTTATAAACTTGAAACAGCACACTGTCTAGTGATGCCATATCAGTGACACAGATTTGAGCTTGTAGCTGGTTATGGCAATGATGTGTAGTAATCATTGCTAACATTTACAGAGCGCCTGCTGTACCAGCCCTGTCCTAGACTTTGGAGACAGGCAGATCTGGGTTCCCAGTTCCATCTCTGACTTACTGTGTGACTTTGGACAAATGACATCACCTCTTTGAGCCTGTGAAATTGGGGACCAATTATATATGACACCGAATCCATGCAAGGATGCTACGCAAGGTTGGGACATAGGTGTCTTTGAACCGAAAACATATTCTTGAGCTGGTGTAGTGTACAAAGTTTGGTCTGGAGGTGCTATCTACATAGCCTGTCTTTGTTCTTTTTTACAAATTTTTTTAAAAATATATTTTATTGATTTTTTACAGAGAGGAAGAGAGAGAGATAGAGAGTTAGAAACATCGATGAGAGAGAAACATCGATCAGCTGCCTCCTGCACATCTCCTACTGGGGATGTGCCCGCAACCCAGGTACATGCCCTTGACCGGAATTGAACCTGGGACCTTTCAGTCCGCAGGCCGACGCTCTATCCACTGAGCCAAACCGGTTTCGGCTTTTTTTTACGAATTTTTACTTTTTCAGTATGTTTGAAACCTCAGCCACTGTCTGCTGCTGTTATTTACTCTACGTTATTTATTTATTTATTTATTTATTTATTTATTTTGCAGGCACATTCTCAGTAGGTAGGAGTCAAATGCCTTTGGTCTGAATTCTGGCCCTGCTGCTATGAACTAACTCTGGGAGCTTGGACAAATTAGTTTTCTAACTTGCTGAGCCTCAGTATCCTATTTTTAAGATGGTTATGGGAAGTCAATGAAATGTCACATGTAAAATCCCCATGTAAATAACGCATTTAAAAAAAATACTCTGTAGCCTCGTACTTGAAAACTGTTAATTTCCTTATTGCCCTCTGCGGGCATATTGAAAAGTCTGTATTTCCCAACTTGTATCTTTTCTATCACAGATATAGGTCACATTTTTTCCCCCCCAGTTCCAGAATGACTTTGAGAATCAAATGAAAAATGTCCAAGGGAAATGTATGAGGAAATAATTATTTTATAAGAAATAAATGAGACTACTTTGATAATTTTAAGTATAAACTTTTTATTTGCTTAGCTTTGACTTTATTATAAGTATCTTTATATCTTAAGCTATATCATTCTCAAGATATCTGTCTATATTACAGTGTCTTAAATACTTATGCTTTCCCATTTCTTTTGACCTTTCTGGCCAGGTGATAAAACATGGAGGCTGGGTCAGTGGTTCGAGCCATCTTTGACTTCTGCCCTAGTGTATCAGAAGAACTGCCCCTCTTTGTGGGGGATGTTATTGAGGTGTTGGCAGTGGTGGATGAATTTTGGCTTCTAGGAAAGAAAGAGGATGTTACAGGTAAGAGGCACCTACCTCCTGTTTTCCATGCATCTGGTTTCCTTTCTTTTGCTTTTTACAATATAAGTTACCACTAATTTCTTTCATTAATTAGCTTAGGGAAAGATGGCAGTCCCCTCCCCCCCCCCCCCCAACACACACACACTCTGCGTCTACGTGAAATGCCATCCTAACTTACATATGTTTATGTAACTCTGGGTTGGAGTATGTTATTCAGTCCTTAGAGCAGACCCTGTTGACACTTAGCCCACATGTGTTAGATAATCGGTTATTTCCCAGTAGAAATGATATCTCAGCTGAGACAAAATGATGAGTAGGAGTTAGCAAGGCAAAGAGGATAGGCAGAGAGAATTGCTTGTTCAAAGGCCCTGGAATGAGAGAGAACACGGAGGGACTGAGAAAAGTTCAGTATGGCATGAAGTGTGAATGGTGGAGGAGGGGGGTAGTGCTTGGGAGATGAGCAGAAGTTAGATCATGGAGGACAGACTATGCCATGGTAAGGAGTCACAGAAATGAGAAACCATTCGTGTGCTTTAAGGTATTTATCAGATTTTTAGAAAGCTCCCAGCTGCCAATTGAACGATGGTAGCAAGGGGCAAAACCAAAGGCAGGGAGGCGGGATGGGAGGTTGGTGCAGTAAGCTAGGCGAGAGATGCTGATGGCTTGGCCCAACGTGGGGGGTCTGGGGGTAAGTGGACAGGTACCAGAGACATTTAGAAGGTGGGGTCAATTAAACCTTCTGATGCTTTCCAACTGACAGGCTCTGTCTCTCGTCTACCTCTACCTATTAAAACCTACCCATCTTTAGACTCAAATGCTATCTTTTTCATAAAATTTTTCATATTCTTCCTGACACATTCTCTCCCTTCTCTGAAATCACATAGTAATTTGTGTACCTGTATTGTGATGCTGGATTTTAGAATTGAATTTTTGTTTATGTCTGAACTAGATTTTGTCTGAATTAGATTTTCAGATCTCTCATGGCTGAGACTGTCTTAATCCTTCTCCCCTCTGCAGTGCACCTTGCATAAGTGACACCCAGTAAATATTCATTGGCTGGAATTGCCTTTTCTCACTGAGTTTTTAATTGGGCCCTATTAATGGGCTCAGAAAAACAATTTTTGTCCTGGAACATAGGCATAAAAATTTTTTTTCAAAATGTTTGCTTTTATTTTCAGGACAGTTCCCCAGTAGTTTTGTGGAAATTGTGACCATCCCCAGCCTAAAACAAGGAGAGAGGCTGTTTGTCTGTACCTGTGAATTCACATCCCAAGAATTGAACAGTCTTCCCCTCTATCGAGGTAAGTTGATCAAGAGTAGACTGTTTAAAATTAGATCAGTGGAGCCCTGGCTGGTTTGGCTCAGTAGAAAGAGCATCAGCCTGCAGACTGAGGGGTCCCAGGTTCAATTCCGGCCGAGGGCACATGCCCGGGTTGTGGGCTCGATCCCCAGTGGGGGGCGTGCAGGAGGCAGCTGATCAATGGTTCTCTCTCATCATTGATGTTTCTATCTCTCTTTCCCCCTCCCTTCCTCTCTGAAATCAATAAAGAAATATATTTAAAAAAAAAATTAGATCAGTAGAGTTGGTCTATTTTGACAAATAGATCTTTTTTGGACTTTTTACAAGTGGCTAACTTCTGGAAGGTCTTCAGCAATACTAAGACAGTGCTGATAATGCCAATGCCTTCTGTTTTAGCAGCATTTTATAATTTCCACAGTATTTCCTCACAACTTCATTCTCATTTGATCCTCAACACAGACCTGGGAGATTGCAAAGTGGGTATTATTAGCTGCATTTAATAAATGATGAAAATGAGATTCACACAATGTTACCTGCAGGTGAGAAGTTTTGGCCTCAGAATGTGAAGTCCTTTCAGTGGATTACAAGTCCAGCATTGTTTTTCCACTGCCCCATGCTATGGCCACACTTGACTACATATATCTTCTTTCTCATAAAAACCGATATGGTTTTGCTAACCACATTATTATTTATTAATGCTTAATAGTAGGGCAGCAGACGTGGTATGGAAATTAAGAGGCAGATGTAAAATAGGCCCATTTTACTACCGTACATTCGGTAACATTATTAAAGTTCTCATCAGAACCAGTTTAAAAGGAAGCAGTTTAAAATGGATAGTCATAGCCAGGTCTCAAATGATATTCCAAGTGTTTCCCACTTTTGTACTCTAATACAGCGGTCGCCTATCTTTCGGACCTCACAGACCACCAGTGGTCCGCGGACCACCAGTTGGTGATCGCTGCTCTAATAGACATGTGACCTTCTAAAGATGGACTGTTAAGTGTTTCAACAAGTATACTTGATGTAGCCTGTGCATTTCTGCATAAGCACAGACACTTATATCAATGCAATTTTTGATGATTCAGAAAACGGTCTCAAAATGGTAGAATTTACTGGATATGTTATTAATATTGTTACTTGCTCTTTTGAGTATGGCTTAATTTTTTAAACATTGCGTATGAGAGAGAGAGAGAGAGAGAGAGAGAGAGAGAGAGAGAGAGAGAGAGAGAGAGAGAAACTTCACAAACCTCCTTAACCCTTGGTCAGTAAGAAGAAAGGCATATTGCATTTCGATATTAATCTCAAAACCAAATTTGAAAGTTTCTTACACTTCACTTTACACTGGGACTCTGCCTGCGTTCTGTGCACTTCCTTGCTAAGCAGTGCTGGGAAGGCAGGCGGAATAGACAAGGTGCGATGGCGGGGAACCTCATCTGTCCCTACTCACCTCCCACGGGAGGGCTGTGGCCCAAGTCAGGCCAGTCAGAGGGTGTGGAGACAGGGCCACCTCCATGCCCCCTGACTGGGAATCGGGAGGAAACCCCAACCCAGGTATGTGCCCTTGGCCGGGAATCAAAACCAAGACTCTGGTGCAGAGTCCAATGTTCTAACCACTGAGAAACACCAGGGCAAAGATGAGCTATTTTTATTGTTCTTTTTTTAAAAATATTTTTTATTGGTTTCATAGAGGAACAGAAAGATAGAAACATTAGTGATGAGAAAGAATCATTGATCAGGTGCCTCCTCCACACCTCTTACTGGGGATCGAGCCCAAAACCCGCGGGCATGTGCCATGACAGGGAATTGAACCATGACCTCCTGGTTCATAGGTCGATGCTCAACCACTGAGCCACAATGGCTGGGCTATGTTTATTATTCTTAACCTGGGATTCCTAGAGTTCACAGAGGTGTTTTGGGGGACCTTGTTTCCCAATAATTAGCAGGAGTTTTGTGTGCATGTACATTTTTCCAGGGAGATTCTAACTAGAACCCCAGAGATTCTTCCAGCAGATGTCACCCTTTCTCCTTTTCCCAAGGCTATCTTATTGTTTTGGACTGTTCCCTGTATTTGGAGTTATATTTAAACTCAGCCACAAGTCTATCTCTTAGAACAGGGGTGGGCAAACTTTTTGACTCGAGGGCCACAATGGGTTCTTAAACTGGACCGGAGGGCCGGAACAAAAGCATGGATGGAGTGTTTGTGTGAACTAATATAAATTCAAAGTAAACATTACATAAAAGGGTACGGTCTTTTTTTTTTTTAGTTTTATTCATTTCAAACGGGCCGGATCCGGCCCGCGGGCCGTAGTTTGCCCACAGCTGTCTTAGAAGGATCAATGCAGCCAGGGCCACTGACTATACCAAAAAATAAAGAGAGGGAGGAAAAAGAGAGCCCCTGCCCCCCCTACACACACATACAAATGAGAGTATCACAAAGAAAAGAGAAAAGAAATTAGTGGGAGATGAATATCACTAATCATTGCCCTACATAACACAATGCTTATTCCTTGCCTATAACTTTGTTTCTAGGCCACTTCCTCATCCCTCAAAAAGGACCAATAAAAAATAAACTGAACAACTTATTTACAAATATTTATCAGTCAAATCTGTGATGTGACATATCAGGATTAAGGTTCTGATATCGCTCATATGTAAACATAAGTAAAATATATGGTTAATCTGCATACAGCACTTAGCAGGGGTCCTCAAACTTTTTAAACAGGGGGCCAGTTCACTGTCCCTCAGACCGTTGGAGGGCCGGACTATAGTTTAAAAAAAAAACTATGAACAAATTCCTATGCACACTGCACATATCTTATCTTGAAGTAAAAAAACAAAACGGGAACAAATACAATATTTGTATTTGCATGTGGCCCGCGGGCCGTAGTTTGAGGACCCCTGACTTAGTGCCCTGGGCTTTAGGATTCAATGAGGGATCTAATACTCAGAGTCAGATTCTTTGTATTCAGATTCTAAGAAGACTTGCATTCATTCTCATTTATTCCTGATGCAGCTCTTGTTTAAATAAAACAGTCCAGCCAGAAGAAACAAGCAGTGTGGCCTCTGGGATTAATTGTGCGTGAGTGACAGGCTCAGGCTAAGAGTCACCACACTTCTTATTTTTCTGTTCTCGACATCTGGCCACTGTACACCAGGAGTTCCTCATGTTGGTGTCTCAGAAGTCTAGAAATGACCACTAGGTAGCCTGCATTCCTAAGGAGTCACCTAGGATGCCAGGGGAATAACTGCATGGGTCTTTCAGATGAAAATGAGAGACTCGTGCTAAAATTCAGCAAACAGGATTATAAAATAAGGGTGTTGAACAATGATCTCTAAAGTGCTTTTCAGGAAGCTAAATGGTGATTTAAAAAACCCCCACCTTTATTATATAGAAACAACCAACAGAATGACAGTCTGTCTGTATATATAAAGCCTAAGTGACTGTTAGGACTGGTCAACCGAACGACCGGGTTGACTGGTCACTGTGACGCACACTGACCACCAGGGGGCAGATGCTCAATACAGGAGCTGTCCCTGGTGGTCACTGTGCTCCCATAGCCAACCTCCCGCAGTCCCTCCCCCCATGGCTGGCTGGCCAACCTCCCAAGGTCTCTCCCCCCGGCTGGCTGGCCCTGATCGCTGGCCAGGCCAAGGGACCCCACCTGTGCACGAATTTGTGCACCAAGCCTCTAGTCAGTAATAAAGCTTAGTAAGATCGTCACCCAGCTGAAAATAGGAAAACAAGGCTTATTATAAGATTTTCATGGAGATCTGGAAAAACAAGGAAAATACTATAATTCTACAGCTTTAAGAAGTCCAGTTCATTTCAAAGCCAGTAGAGTAGGAGGTATGGCATGCTTTTATTCTTATTCACCAACAGGCCTATTCACCAAAAGGCCTATTGTGTCTGAACAGTAGCTGTCTCCAGCGAGCTCCCTTGTGGCACTGATAGAGCTGGTGAGGGGAAATCACTTGTAGTTATCAGGACCATAAGCTCGACCAATGGGCATTGAATCATAAATTAAAGGAATATAGAAATATAGGACCAAGACCTTATTTTTCAGGAATACAGTATCAAATCAGTGAAAATGTATTGGGTGCCTACCACTAAGTGCAAAATTTTACATTAGAGGCTGTGTAGTATATAAAAATATAAGTGTCAAAATTAGTAATATGGATCATTTACTATGATCATTTACATAAGATGAATGTGGTCTTCTAGGTTCTTTAGAGTGGCATGCTAAGGTTTCAGGTGAAGAGGCTTGTCTAGGAGACAATGAGAGTCCTTTCGTGTGAAATAGGGTCTCATAGGTGATATATATTGGACAGCTGGGGGTGGGAGCAGGGGATATTATGAGTGGATAGGAATGCCAAGTTACACTGAGGTGAAACATGTAGCTTAGTAACTAAACCTCTTTAGAGAGTATCCAGAGCAAACTTATTTTTTATATATTCCAGGCAGTAAGAATAGGATTATTAGAGAAGAAGCCTTTGACAGAAGGAAGAAGCCTTCATGCTTCAGGGTAAATGTTTGAGCAGGAAAGGATATGATAAAATTGATATGGTTATAATCTTGGGCAGGAATCACTTGGTAGACTGGAAGAGACAGTGTCTAAGGCAGCCGTGGGCAAACTACGGCCCGCGGGCCCCGTCCGGCCCGTTTGAAATGAATAAAACTAAAAAAAAAAAAGACCGTACCCTTTTATGTAATGATGTTTACTTTGAATTTATATTAGTTCACACAAACACTCCATCCATGCTTTTGTTCCGGCCCTCCGGTCCAGTTTAAGAACCCATTGTGGCCCTCGAGTCAAAAAGTTTGCCCACCCCTGGTCTAAGGGCAAGATTTATAAGAGTGAGATAACGTGAGTTGGACTAAGGTGAAAGCAAAGAGCAAGTAATGAATGGAATAAATATTCTGAAGGAAGAAATTAGAGGAAAAAAGGAAGTTAGCAGCATGGAGCTTGTTTTGGAGGGAAGGTATAGTTCATTTATTTGATAGTTAGAATTGAAGAATCACTAGCAAATGGACAACAAGAGCTTTGCTTACATGGGTCTATTTATATTTTACCATATTAGCTATAAAAACTGAGAAATTTTAAAATGTTTATTCATTTTTTAAAAGCCATGACATACTAATATAAATAGTATACTTTTAGCAAAAATAACTAGTTTTCTAAGCAGTGAACATTTGATTCTTAAAACGTTGTTTTATATTTTTGCAGATCTCTTTAATGTTTAATTTAATAAAATAAAGCTGGATTCTCAGATATGTATCTGTTTTCATGTTGTTTTGAGTGAAGTAGATGAAGACAATATGATAGTTTTGACCTCAGACCCTCTGAAAGGAACTTGGGGGCCCCCTTGCTCCAGATCCCATAGACCACACTTTGAAAATTACTGTTTTATAGGAATTTTCAGTATATTGTCATCAAATTGTCAAAATTCACTAAGTTGTCAAAAGTGTTCTTTGCTTTAAAACTCTAGGTGTATATTTCCTTGAATTCGGTAAATGTTTAAAATGATGGTTTACAGTATTAGTTATAGAAATGCTAGAGGCCCGGTGCACAACATTCATGCACTGTGGGGTGGGGTCCCTCTCAGCCCGGCCTGCACCCTCTCGCAGGGTCCCCTCGGGGGATGTCGCCTACTGGCTTAGGCCCGATTTCCCCTGGGGATCGGGCCCAAGCCAGCAGTCAGATATCCCTCTTGCAGTTCGGGGCTCTCGCAGTCCGAAGCTTTCGCAGTCTGGGACCCCTCGCTCCTTACCACCAGCCTACAGTGGAGGCAGAAAAGGCTCCCGCCACCACCTCTGCGCTCGCCAGCCATGAGTCTGGCTTCTGGCTGATTGGTGCTCCCCCTGTAGGAGCACACTGACCACCAGGGGGCAGCTCCTGTGGTGAGCGTCTGCCCCCTGGTGGTCAGTGAGCATCATAGTGACTGATAGATCTGCCGTTTGGTCAATTTGCATATTAGGGTTTTATTATATAGGACTAGAAGCCCGTTGCACGAAGATTCGTACAATAGGCCTTCCTTCTCCTGGCTGCCGGCACCAGTTTTCCTCCAACACCTGGGACCCAGGCCTTTGGTCCGGCCGCAGTGGAGAAGCCAAGCCTCGAGGCTAGGCTTTTCCCCTCCAGCTGCAGCGAGGCTTGGCTTCTCCCCTCCGGCCGCAGCGGAGAAGCCAAGCCTCTTCAGTCTTCAGTCTTCAATCTTCACTCCGGCCGGAGCCTTCAGTCTTTGCTCTGCGCCTGCGTATGCAAATTAACTGCCATCTTTGTTGGGTTAATTTGCATAGAGTCACTCTGATTGGCTGGTGGGTGTAGCAGAGTGACACCAATTTGCATGTTTCTCTTTTATTAGTGTAGATTCTTCTGGGGTGATAACTGGGGCCATTATCTTTGCTTCTCTTTTTTAGGTGACCTCGTGATTCTCGATGGCACTCCCACTGCCGGCTGGCTGCAAGGCCGAAGCTGCTGGGGTGCCCGGGGCTTCTTCCCATCCTCGTGTGTTCGGGAGCTCTGCCTGTCCTCACAGAGCCGGCAGTGGCACTCACAGAGTGCCCTGCTGCAGATTCCCGACTATTCAATGGGACAGGCCCGGGCGCTGATGGGGCTCTCTGCCCAGCTGGATGAGGAGCTGGACTTCAGAGAAGGGGATGTGATTACCATTATCGGAGTTCCTGAACCAGGCTGGTTTGAAGGGGAACTAGAGGGTCGAAGAGGCATTTTCCCCGAAGGCTTTGTAGAACTTTTGGGGCCCCTGAGGACTGTGGATGAGTCGGTGAGGTCTGGAAATCATGATGACTGCATGGAAAATGGTGAAGTAGACACCCCTACAGGAGAAGAGGAGAGAGGGCCGGAAGAGGAGGACGAGCAGCCAGGGACCTACGGAATCGCCCTCTACAGGTTCCAAGCCCTGGAGCCGAATGAGTTGGATTTTGAGGTAGGCGATAAGATCCGAATTCTGGGGACCCTGGAAGATGGCTGGCTGGAAGGATCACTGAAGGGCAGGACAGGCATCTTTCCTTATCGGTTTGTAAATTTATGTCCTAAAACAAAGGTGGAGGAAACTGTGGTCCTGCCACAGGAAAGCAGCCTTCGCAGGGTCCCTGAAACGTCTTTGGATTGCCCAGAGAACTCCTTAGTACTGGGAGAAGAAGGACATGAATCTCATGAGTATGAAGAAGAGAAGTCCAACTGTATTATTTTTGAAACATCTGCTTCTCCCCCAGATCATCTGACCTCTGAATATGCAGTAAACACAAGCTCTCACTGGGATGAGGGCACCTCCAGGGGGCCGCCGAGAAGCCCAGGCACAGGGCATGGACAGCCTCTTGCCAAAGACTCTGCCACAAAGGATTCTTCAGAGGTCGTCAATGGTGTTTCCTCCCAACCTCATGTACCTTTCCACCCCCAACTGCAGAAAAACCAGTATTATTCTAGAGCAGGAGGGAGCCAGCCGAGCTCAGGGCAGTTCTCTGACCCTTTTCCTCTAGAAGCAAGGACTAGAGACTATTCCAGCCTCCCTTCCAGGAAAACATACTCCCAGCCGAAAACCCTTACGAAGCGAGCCTCTCCTTTTCCTGAAGGCTCTTCTCTTTCAGCCTCTAGGGTGGTCAGGCCTAGCCAGTTGAGCCCTCAACTCCCGGGCAAGGCAAGGTGTACCAAAAAGTACCACACACTCAAAGAAAAAAATGCTGCCCGCTTTTGTTCAGAGATGAAGCCTGGTCTGCAAGACATGGCGCCCGCTGTGGATGCATTGGCCCTTCCACAGGGAGACGGCAACGTTGACCTGGATTCGAAGTTGACACAACAGCTGATAGAGTTTGAGAAGAGCTTGTCAGGCACTGAACCAGATAAAATTTTGCGCCACTTTTCAATCATGGACTTTAGCTCCGAGAAGGATATTGTCCGAGGTTCCTCAAAGCTAATCACCCAGCAGGAGCTGCCTGGGAGGAGAAAGGCCCTAAGGCCACCGCCACCCCGTCCAGCACCCACTTCTCCCCATTTGCTGGTGGACCAGAACCTGAAACCCCAGCCACCCTTGGCAGTGCGGCCCTCTCGCCCAGCTCCCCTGCCTCCCTCAGCGCAGCAGAAAACAAATGCGGTACCCCTCAAACTCCTAACCTGTAACCGTCCCACCTGTGAGACCCTAGAAAAGGAGGCCCCTGAGAATATCGAAAAGACTTTGGACCAAACTTCCCAGTGTCCATTAGTATTGGTGAGAATTCAGGAAATGGAACAGGACTTGGATATGTATAGCAGGGCTCACGAAGAGCTAAACTTAATGTTGGAGAAGCAAGAGGAATCCTTAAGGGCAGAGACCCTGGAGAATCTAGCATTCTACGAGAGCAACATTGAAAATTTGAATATGGAACTCCAGCAGCTTAGAGGTAAGTGATGAGGAAATAATATATACTTATTTCTTGACATAAGTCCAAGTAGTAGCCTACCCATATTTTTTAGGGATATGTTACCATCTTGGATTGACAAAGAATGATTTGCTTTTTCATTACCTCATTTCTTCTCTCACCACAATTAGACTGCTCTGTCTTGATGTATCTTTTGACCATTGTGGCCTCCTGACTTTGTTTGCAGCTCAGTGACATTTATACCTCCTATACTGCTATGACATCCATAGCAGTCATGTAGATGGGAAGTCCCCAAATATAACTTCCTTTAACCTGGCCCTTCTAAAGGACTGAAGATGTCTAGGCTAAGACTCATGAGAAAACTGCATCTTGTATTTTTATGGTCTATAGACTAGATTTCAACAATAATAATAACTTCCATTTATTAGCTTGTTATAAGCATTTGCTATCATTTACATACACAAAGAATCTTCACAGCCACCCTGAAGGTACCGGGGATAATTCATATGGCTACTTTATAGATGGTGAAACTGAAGGTTGTAGAGATTAAGTCACTAGTCCAGGGAGCAAGGATTTGAGCCCATGGTTTTCACTACTCCAGCTTACTGCTCCCCACCTTGCACATTCAGACGTTTAAATGCTGTTCCTTAATTTGGGGGTGACCAGCCTCTGGAGACTTCATTCATGTTCACCAGGCTACCAGGAGAAACAATTTGCAGAGTAGGAAGAGTAAGAGAGTGAGACAACAGCAGTTGTTCTAAGACCCAAGGAGAACCTGACCTCAGGCCACTTCGGCATGTGCCCGAGGGCTCTGCACCTGCATGTCATCAGCAAAGTGAATAATAAAAGTATTCTGCGGGTCTAGAAATTGCAGGATACTAATAAGAGATAAAGCAGGAGAGTGGTGGCCCAGAGAGACTGGGCCAAGATGGCAGACCGAGTACACATACCTATTCCCTCGTCCTTTAGATTTCTAAAAGTGAATGAAAAAACATAATTAAAAATCCCAAGAGGAGTATTATCAGAAGGCTGGAAATCGAGTGATTTTCTGAAAGGATCCTTGGGTAAGAAGTAAAAAAAAAAAAAAAGAAAGAAAGAACACTTCTACATGTCATTAAAATATATAATCTTGTCATAATATTTTGGTTCATCATCATAATAAACTTCATTTATTTTATATATATTTCTCATCTATACACAGATATAAAAATCTCTAAAACTTTAGTACAATCCTAAACTGACACAGGAAAATTATTCAGTGTTGATTATTAAGGTCACTACTATTATCATTTAAGAACATGTAAATACAAAGTTTTTAAAGATACAGGATAATTTATAATTTTAGGAATTACCAGGAATTCTAATTTCTTGTTCCTGAACCCCGAAGATTACTCTCTTTGCTGAATGTATTTTATTTTATTTTTTAAAATATATTTTTATTGATTTCAGAGAGGAAGGGAGAGGGAGAGAGAGAAATATCAATGATGACAGAGAATCATTGATCTGCTGCCTCCTGCACGCCCCCTACTGGGGATTGAGCCTGCAACCAAGCATGTGCCCTTGACTGGAATAAAACCTGAGACAGGCTGACGCTCTGTCTACTGAGCCAAACCTACCAGAGCTATCCTTACGGAATTTAGAAACTGCTGACCAACAACTGAAAGAAACAAGTGCCAATTCTCTCTCTGGAATGAGGTGCCTTCCTCTCAGGTCTTAAAGTTTTCCAAACACTAGGACTAGCACACAGTAAAAGACAGACACACAGGGAGTGTAAACCACACTAAGGAGAACCAGGTGGCATCACAAACAGTCCCACTAAGACTTAATATCATACCAGGCTACTTATTACCTATGTAAAGAAAAGAAAAAAAACAAGCTAAGAGGTATCTGCAGCAAACAGGAAACTATAAAAGGTAAGATATCAGATTTGAAAATATAAAATAAAACTTGTAGGAAATGAATCCTCATGCCTTCATAATTATTCCATAGTCTTTAGAAGGAGCAACATGAACAATGGTGTAGACCCAAAGACTAATATAGATTTAGGTGTGAACTATTATGAAAACCTGTATATCATGCCATACTTAAATTAATTCATCCAATGTATTTATTCCCTGTTGATCTAACTAGATTCAGACTTATACTTAAGTCTTTAAATTAGAAATGATTCTTAATAATATTTTCTTCTAATTTCTCAAACTCCTATTTAATGTCTACCATGTGATAAGCATGGTAAGGCATTTGCCCATACATTTTCTTATTTGAAGGAGGAGGAGGAGGGGAAGCAGAAATAGCTACAATAAAGAACTTCATTTTGGGTCTGGAGCAGAACTGGACTATTTTGCTACCGAGTAACTTTGTCTCACTGACATTTCTGCTCTGACAGCCCCAACCCCCTGGTAGTCCAAGTTCGAAGTAACTGTAGAGGTAGGAAATCGTTGAAAGCTCTGGGAGTTAGAACAAGCAACTCCAATTCAATTTCATCCAGTTAAACTAAATTCAATTCATCAAGCATTTAATAAGTCTACTGCCTGCAGTGTGTGGGAAGTGACACACTGACTAATTCAGCCGTGGGCAAACTACGGCCCGCGGGCCGGATCGGCCTTTTGAAATGAATAAAACTATTGAAAAAAAAAGACCGTACCCTTTTATGTAATGATGTTTACTTTGAATTTATATTAGTTCACACAAACACTCCATCCATGCTTTTGTTCCGGCCCTCCGGTCCAGTTTAAGAACCCAATGTGGCCCTTGAGTCAAAAAGTTTGCCCACCCCTGGACTAATTAATACATAGTATCTGTCTTCTCCATAGGCTGAACATTTTCATTGAGAGGCACAGAAACACTAAAAATAATACCAACCAGAATTAAGTAAATATTGTACCAAAAGTTCTTTAAATCTTAGGCCTTAAATGTCAAGATTAGAGATTGTACGAGACTGGATTCAGGGAATAAAGCCTGGTGTTTAAACTGATTAATTTCCTCCTCTTTCAAGGGACTTTTATTGTTGGATACGCTTTTTATGAAGACAGAAAAAGATGACCTTAAGAGGCTCTGTCAGTGATTGTAAGAAATAAGTAATTGCATCATATTAGCAATTGATATAAAAAAGAAAATCAAGTCAACATTAATACACTGAATGCGGTATTTAGTGGATTCAAATAAAGAAAAGTCTTTCTGATTAAGACTCTACCCACCTACTGTAGATCTTTTATAATATTAATCTTTTAGAATTAAAAAACACATAGTAAGAACACTGACCGAATATTCAATTAGTCCTGAAAAGAAGATCAGTTGAATAAAGAAGAATACCAATTTCATGGCGTAGTACCAGTCCATTAACCCACATATCCATTGAAAAACACTGCATGGTATTTTTAAGGATAGAAGACATAACATTTCTATGAAACACTATGAATTCTCAAAAGTATCGTTATTGAGAAATTCTTGCTGGCTGGAATGTGGGAGGCTTTTGTTCTGCCACCTGTGTATTTAATGCAGGAATAGTTTAGAAGTATATCTCAAAACTGGTAGATGGAGAATCCTAGGGCTTGCTGTGGCTTTGGGGATGTAGTGATGTGTCAGAACTGCCAATGTAAGGCCTTGTTTTGCTTCTAAAACTTGATATTCTTGGACCATCGCTTATAAGATTTGTGCAAAATATACTCTGCACATAACCTTGTTAATATTTACCTTATTTGTAAGAATGATTCACTGTTCAAGCGTGCGCGCGCACACACACACACACACACACACACACACACGCACACACGTAACATAGCAACAGCTACCAGCAAAACAATCTGGTTAGATTTTGATTATTTTCTTTCCTAGGTACTCTTGTCCCGGGAAATCTTAATCTTTTACTCTGTGTGGGTATTTTCTGCTCTTTCTTTCAACTTAACATATGTGGATTCCTTCAAACTAGGAACATCTCTACACTAATTGTTAAGCTTTATTCTCACAGGAGTATTAGAGTATTTTCTCTGCGTTTCCAGATTTCTCAGCTGATTCTTTTTAGGATTCAAAAAGGCAAATTTGGAGAAACTAAGATGGCGGCATAGATAAACACCGGGAAATTTCTGCTTCCCACAACAATCGATAAATGCATCAAAAACACAAGGTGGACATCATCCAGAGCTACAGGAGGGCTGGCTGAGTGTAAATTCTACAACTAGAAGGAAAGAAAAGCACACTGCGAGCGGGAGGAGCTGCGGAGGTGGAGTGCAGAGGTACGGGGGCTCGCACGCGCAGAAAGGGTCTGGCACCTGAGGACGCGGCTGTCTTTTTGAATCCGGAGGGAGACACAAGCTCCCGACGGCTCTGAAATCCGGTTCCGGGAAGTCTCTGGGGACCCAGGACTCATACGGGGAGATACTGGACTGTCTGGCAGCGGGCGAGCTTGAGAGCGGCTTTCCCTCAGAGGTGCTTGCAGCCATTGCCGGGACACTGAGACTCGCGACTCCTTAGGGCGGGGCTGAGGCTCCGCCATAGCTGCTTTCTCCGCCCTTTGATTTCTTGAGACCCCGCCCCGCCCAGGCTGCGGCAGAGGCTTTTGCATATGAATGCCCCGGCCATTTGCAACCTGTAATTACCTAACCGCAGCCGGGCCAGATAGACCCAGAGCTTCCAAGAGAAGGCCCACGGCCCCACAGCGGCTTGCATTGCTACACAGCTGAGCATCATCAGGGCACTTCCAAACTCCAAAAAAAAGGAAGGGGAATCTGCAGTTCTCTTTGTAGTTCCTGCTGTGTAACCTCAGGCAGAGGCTAAATTAGCACCTCCTTAGATCCAAGAGCCACTGTACCCAGTGGTCAGAGGGGAACCATCCAGATCACAACTCCTCAGATCCATAAGGGACACACTCAGGGTGCAGTCTCAGTGAGCACCAAAGCCCCACTGAAGCAAGTCTTGCCCCAGAAGGGTGTCTCCAGCACAGAAGTTCTCCCACTGCAGACACAGCTGATTCTCGCTGCCAATTTCCCTGGAGGTCAATTCCTCCCAGTGATCCTACAACAACC